AAAAGCTGCCAATGGGCTGGCAGATGCTTATGAGGAAGCTCCAAATTCCTCAAGCCCTTCTTCAACCCTAGAAGTGATTCTTCCTGGCCCTTGCAAGCTGGCATGAATCACAGTAAGCACAGGGGCAGATGATGGCTGGAGGAATGCAGAGTGGGGGGAAGAAGCCTGGATGAGCTCTTGATATCCTCTGCAACCATACTTTTTTATTACTCAGATTTGCAATGGCACTTGGGATGCTTAAACATCCCTGTTTATTGTATTTTCCCATAGCTGTAGTTAATGCCATTCTCAATAGTAACGCATTACTAGCATTCAGCTTTCCTATAGGACTGCAAGGGAACATGTGAATTACTGCCAAACCTTGATGTGTCCTTCTTCACCCACGTGATGATGTGGTGAGCAAATGTCTTACAGCATGAGCAGCACATACTGCTTCCGTTTTCCAGAGTTTCACTATGAACTAGAGGGCTAGCTTTGAAAACAAAGGAGCAGAACAATTCATACATTAAGAAGGCAGAATCTCAATTTTGATAGGACCCGGGAACAGTTTTAAACTAAAAAAGGGAAGATTTAGATGAGATGTCGGGGAAATCTTTCACCGAGAGGGCGGTGAGGCGCTGGCACAGCTGCCCAGAGAAGCTGTGGTGCCCCAGCCCTGGAGGTGCTCAAGGCCAGGATGGATGGAGCCCTGGGCAGCCTGAACTGGTGGGGGGCAGCCCTGCTCATGGCAGGGGTTGGAAATAGTTGATCTTCGAGGCCCCTTCCATTTCCCTCTGTTGCAGTACCTTTGGAGGCCACAAAAGCACAGAACACAGAATGGCTGTCTATACCTTAAAGAAATTCTTCAGTAATCTTTGTGAATTATTCTTGCAAAAGAATGACTGTTGAAGCAAGTTTTTCATGTGTGACAGTGACAGAAGTGACAGAAACAAAAAGGAGTTTGTTTGCTTATCTTGTAGACTATCTAATTTTACAGTGAGGTTACTCTAATACTTGTCACTGACCTCCTTTCAGTTCTGTATGACACAAGAGAAATGGCCCATACAGATCTCATCAGCAAGGCATGAACGTGATATGTTTGGTGTAGAATTTTCACTGTTATTTCAGCTAAGTCTAAGAGCACTCATTCACATAGCACGCTACTCAGCAGTTGAACAAAATAATACTGAGAATAGGCATTTTCTAAATATAGAGGAAATTACATCGCTACGGATAATGCAATCCTTGTTGCAACTTCTGTTTCAGTTTCTGAGATCGCCCAAGCTTAGTCCCTTCTCTTCCCCTCTCACACTGCCTCTTTTCCCAGAAGCTCTGAAATCATCTTGTAAAACATATCCAACTATCAGCTCTCTAACTCTTCTGAGGGCTGAGGCTGACCCATACAATAAAACAAAGGCTTTCCCTCAGCCACTGCAAACCATGGCAAGGAGAAAAAAAGACAGCTTGAACCAACAACTGCAGGCTTGGAATGCAGATAACTTCCAATTATCTGCAGGTGGATGATTATCTAAGCAGACAAACTTTTTTTTTTTTTTTTTTTTTTCAATGTATACACACAGTTAATAGAATTATACAGGTTGGAAAAGACCTACAGGATTATTTAGTCCAACCATCCACCTATCTGTGATATTTCCCCATCCTCCATGTCCCTCAGTACATCCACACGGCTCTTGAACACCTCCAGGGATGCTGACTCCACCACCTCCCTGGGCAGCCTGTGCCACTGCCTCACCAATCTTTCAGAGAAGAAATTTTTCCTAATGTCCAGCCTGAATCTCCCCTGGTGCAACTTGTGGCCACTTCCTCCAGTCCTATTGCTAGTTATGCAGGAGAAGCACTGACCCCCACCTTGCCACAACCTCCTATAAGACAGTGCTGGCTTGCAAACCCACAAACCCTTGAAGAAACAGTTTGTTTCCTCCCAAGAGTATTACTTGGCATGACAAAAGTCCCTCCCTACAAATCTCATTTTTATGTCATCTTTTCTATAAAAGTATCATTATTTAAAAAACCTAAACTACAGCATCATGTACTTTTAAGACACTACAAAATTCATCTCATTTTTCAATGCTAATCATATCGTGGGAAAGTTCCACAGCTTAATGCAAGCATATTTGATAGTATCCTTTCATGGGGATAAATAAGTAGTCACAGTGGAAAAGAAGTGGGTCTTAAGAAGAGAGCTGGACAAATGCATTCACTACAACAGAATGGGACTTCTATTTCTTTTCGTTAAACAAGTAGGGACCAGTACTTGTTTGACTCTCTCCACGTGTCCAAAATATTAACATAAAAATGCCATTAGAAACCACAGCTGGAATATTATGCCCGACAGCTGGGTGAAAACCTGCACCGACTATTGTTCCCAAAGTGTTCTCTGCTGGGCATTTGCTTGACAAATGTTCTCTTGTCACCACAAACCACAGGGGAAAAACTGAGAGACTCTCAAACCCTGCCACTCTGTTTCAGTAAGAACACTTTTTGCAGATCAAAAATCAAAAGGTCCATAAGCCAGATACTGCATGCCTCCTTGTGGAGGCTTGGAGAACGCACACTTTTTCACTTTCATTTCTGATAGCACTTAACAAAACGTATCAGTCACAAATTTCTGTCCACTCAGTTGAAATTAGCGACCCCCTAAGCAGCTCCAAACATCCCCAGAGAATGAAAGGAAAAACCCAACTTGGCAAATGCTGCATTAATTTCTAAGTGTACGTGGAATTCCCCTCTAAATCTACGCTTGCTGAAGGCCAAAAGGACAATCTTATATTTCCCACCAAAGTCAAACAACATTCTAAAAACACAAAACCTTAAAAAAAACGTGTGTTGGAAGTTAGTATTCCGTGCAGCACTGTGGAATTACAGCCTCTCCAAATGAAGTAAAGGCAGCCAATTATTTCATTCTTAAAAATCTTCTCTCTAGTAAGAGAAAGGTAGAAAGATATTCTGAAATGGATTATTTCTGAAAATAGTATTTTGTCTTTTATGGGTGCTTCCAGCACTGACAATACTATATGGGGAGTTCTTTTTTTGTTTTTTTTTTGTAATTGCCTAGAAAAAGGTTACAGGCAGAGAGTAGAAACTGCTTTCTTAGGGGCTCTCATTAGAGCTTAGAACTGTAGCACTCAAACAGGCAGCAATACTGAAATCACCACATTAGAGTACTGTCTGCTCTTGCATTACTGCTATTCAGCAGGTGAGATAACACGTCAAATCAGGTGCCTTTCAAATTTGCAACCTTGATTCTAAGCATAAGTTTTTGTGATATTCTGACCTGGAAATCAGTAACTCAGCAACTAACATGATCAACACTGCATCTGCCTAGAATGGCATACAGTGGATTATTAGTAGCTTTTGTTATTTGAGTAACTATTCAAGAAAGAATCTCAGAGGCCAGAAGAGTTCTTGCCAATCTCTGCTCCCCGGCGACAGTAACAGGACCCAAAGGAAAGGCATGGAGCTGTGGCAGGAGATGGTCAGGTTTGGGTTTAGGAAAAGGTTCTTCACCAGAGGTTGAAAGCTCCCCAAGGCAGCAGTCAATAAGCATCTGTACAACACTCTTGGATATAGGGTTTGATCTGAGTGGTGCTGTGTGGAGCCAGGGGTTGGACTGCATGATCTTTGTGAGTCCCCTCCAGTTTGGGGTATTCAATGATTCTGCAACTGTAAGAGGCAAAAAGAGGCACCACCTGGATGATCCTCGAACTAACTTACAACAACTACATATGATAGGAGCAATCTCTTCAAAATATCTTCTCTTTCTCAGCACATCTGAATCTAAGCAAGAGAAAAACAAAGGTTTATGCCACTAAAGGTGCACTTACTAGGTACTGCTGATAGGAGAAATCCCATCTTCATACACGCAGCCCTGCTATGGCAAGTGTTGCTCATACAAAGACTTAACTTATAGTTCCCAACAGGAAAAGTTGAGCTCAATTTACATCACTCATACAGATGACAGTGCACAGGCAGCTGCTCTGGAGATTTGAATACTACCTCTGATTTGTGGTAATTTCTGATGTTACCGCATTTCTTATAAAATTCCTGGAGATGTGGGAAAGGTAGCAACATTTTAAAAATATTTTTACATTTTATTTGGAAAATTCCTAAGTTTCTTCAATTCAAATGAAACCTGCAGATTTTCTATGATATTTAGGCCTTCTCTCATTTTCTCCTAAGCCTCTCTGTATAAAACTGACAGTATAGGTTTCCACTTGTGTACAAAGCTTATGGAAGAAAGTTTTGATTTGCACTGAATTACACATGGACAGTGTTTTATACTCTGTTACCTACTAACTACTGAAATTTCCCACAGAATGTGATGCACAAGCTGAACACCAATCACTGTTTCAGAATATGTCCAAAATCCATTTTGTGAACCATGTCTGCTGCCATGACGACAGTGCACGATTTCTTAGTAACCACACTGGAGTCTGTGATCTGTACAAAGGATGTCTATGCAGTCCTTGAAGAAAACAAAGCCTTTGGAGGGCAACTTCAGACCTTCTAAATCTAACGTGATTTTTAATGACAAAGAATGGATCGTGTGCTAAAATGGTCGAGAAGCAAAAACACATTCTTCATGAACACTCACCAAGCACACTGATAATGTCCATTCTCGGTTTCATTCCTCCTTTCTTCCCAACAGTAAAAACTATCATTCCATATCCTTAGTGACTCTTCAGCCATAGACAGTATTTCCAATCCACTCTAAGTCTTGTAGGTCTAATTTATGAAACACACAACTATCCCTGAAAGATAGGGGTTTCCTTCAGCATGTCTTTACATAAAAGGAAGGGTGTCTTTCTGTTTGTGTTGACCTGAGAAATGTTGTTTCATGATGAATAGAAAGGTGGCAAGTAGCTTGGAAGGTGAGGAAGGAGATTTTGGATTCTGTATATTAAAAATACCTCAAATATGTAAAAGGAACTGAAAAGCAGAAGAACAGCTAGCATGTATAAACAAATAATCAGAGGCAGTTATGAAACAAAGATGAAGGATGAGATAAAGACAGATTAATTTATTTATACATCATTATTTTAGACATTCAGCGTTCCTTTGGAGAAAGTTTTACTACTCTGAAGCAGGGAAAGTGAGTGTATTTTCAGATTTTTTTCTTCTATCCATTTGCTAGTTGTGCAACTACTTCAATAAGGACATTATCCTTAAAAATTGTGCGTCGCATCAGCAGATTTTCTCTCCTCCCTTTCAAGACCTTTTCAGCTAAGATGGGCCAATGGATGAATTTTTCAAAGTGCTAGTACTGTGACAGCTAAGAAGCTGATATTCAGAATGACTCCTTGGTGAAAACATGGAAGAGGAAAACTTAAATCTTGTAATTAAGCCAACAGTAGGATGTGGAAAATACGGAGTCAGCTGGCCCTGGCTTATAGTTCACAGATACAGATCTGAGCACATCAACAATGAATTACACACTAATTCCACTCTACTACCATTCTTCATCCACTGGATGGATACAGTGGCACTGCATCTGCTGTGTCTCTACAACATATCCTCCTCCCATTTCTGAAAGAAACTTCAGTTGCTTTTTGTTCTCAAGGAAATGACTTGATACTGGTGCACTGTGACGACTGCTGCCAAACACATCTGCACAGCTCCCTCCAGCTGAAAAAGCTCAAGAGAATGCTCAATGTCCCAGGCCAGACTATTTGCATAGTGTAAGCCCTCCCACAGGCAGCTCCTTCACAAAAACCCTGCAGCACAGCTGGGAGTCGATCAGCGTCATAAAAGCAATTATCAGACTGTGAACAGGAAAAGCAGATGAAAATACTTCCATTGGTCCATAAAGCTGTTAATACTATACCTTCAACTTAAACATTTTTGCTTTTCATGTCAGAAATAGATGTTTTATTTGCCAGTTAATTTCAGCACATTCTTTACCATGGCCCCAATGCCATCAAAGATTTTATGTAATTCTGTTTCACACATAAATGCTGGGGTAGTCACCACTTTGTTTTTGGTATCCACGTGAGCTTCGTAAAAAGAAGTTAAGGAAAACACAGCCTGTGACTCACTTGCAAATGCTACCTGCAAAGTAAACCATCACTGACATAACCTTACAACTCTATTATCCCATAAACGGACACCTCCAAGTTCAGCTATAAAGACAGCTGCAACCTGTAGCCTGAGATAGTAGAAGCTACATTGCCCGAAACACAACCACTGCCAGAGCAATCTGTAGGAATGACATCATCAAGAAACATAGGAAAACTTATAGAACCTACTGACTGCAATAAAACGCCTCTCTCTGAGTACAGTTTGAACACAGCTTCAGCCTTCTGGAAAAGAAAAAATATATATCTTAAAGGTAACTGATGAACTGTATCTCATGCCAGTTTTATGCACAAATTCACTTGGCAATTCTGGTCTGTGTTAGCAGGTGTCCAAAGGAGATCTCTGGCAATAACTGAGAACTTCAGATTACACAGCTAGGTACAGAAGACAATGTTTTCTAATCACATATTATTTTACACGTGCTATCTGCTACAAACCATATATTCCCTCTAAACTACAGTGTTGTTAGAAAAGCACAGATCCTGCATGTATTCATTACCACAATGACACGTTACTAAACTCTTCATGTGGAAATTAACAGGAAAGGATATAGTTACTTCCTTCACACAATGCTTTCCTCCCAGTTCTTTAATGGCTCCTGCAGTTCCAGCATAAGGCCACTTGCCACCTTCCTCCTCTTCATGGCCCACAGTTACTTCAGCACCAGAAAGAACTTTTGCTGCCAACACCGGGGAAATGCAGCAAAGACTACAACAAAGGGAATCACAAAAACAATGTTGTGATGGCACTCTTTCAAAACTTGGTCATGATTGGAAAGACCCAAATGGATGCGGTCTTACAAATGTGAAAGGCATACCAAAGCAACATCATTCAACGTTTTCTTAGTGTCTTCTCTCACAAACACCTACACACACACACACCTTGAAAAAAAAGCATTTTAAAAATAAGCTACAACTGATAAAACAAAAAAGCTGGTTTTTTTTCTAGCTCCAGCATAAGAGCCACACATGTCAACTGCAAAACACGCTTGGTCTCCACGTGCAAACAAATACCCCTATCTGACCAAAATACATACCCAATAGGTTTGCCCGCTTTGTGGAAGTCTTTCAAGACACGTTCAACTTCTGTGTTCACCTTGCAATCTTTCCCATCAACAGCAAATGTAGATCTGCCACAATAAGAAACTTTATTCCTCACCATAAATCTACAAATAGGGCTATCTATCTGCCCTGGCTCTTGGCTCTTGAGGACAGTACAAACACAAAACTTTCTGAAAAAGTTGAACAATGCTGCAGTTGACCAGCAATGCATTAGTCAAAATGATTCACTTCTAAGGTTTTAGTATGTCATACAGCTGCTTATTTAAAATAAACATCCAGATAAAAGAAGTATTAAATTAGCTTTCTAGGATTACTGAGAAGAACAACAATGCTGACGCAGAAAAATTCATAAAGTAAGTCAAATTTCCCAAAGCCAACAAAATAACAAAACAATTAGAATTCCTTGTGGCTAATACTTTTTTTTTTTTCCTGAACTAGTTATTATTTTATAGTTACTAATGCAAGAGAATACTTTTAGTCATGAAGGAAAAGAACGATAATACTAGCAGCATCTGAAACTAATGGAGTTTTACCTTTGCTTGTCTCAGTCAACCTCAAAAAGGATCACCACAAAGGCAGGGGGAAAAGTACTTGTTGTGCATTATCTAAATTCTCCAATTCTCACCAATACTGCTAGTGCCATCAAGAATTATAACTGGAAACCATCACAAACAGCACTTACTTTAACAATTTGAATGGAGTTTTCCTTATTAAATAGTAGTTGCGTGGGTGTTAAATAAAGCCATTTGTTACTCCTTGATTTTACTGTGCGAATTACAAAGAAGGAATATAATATTTAATCGACACTTACAAATTTTTAGCAGCTCCAAATCCACCAGGGAATATCACAGCATCATGGTCCACTGTCGTAAGCTTAGCCAGGTTAGTGATTTTGCCACGAGCAATCCTTGCAGATTCCACTAAAACATTCCTTCAAGAACCAGAAATAAAACAATGACACGAATTAAGCATTTGCACACAAAACAGAATAAGGAAAGTTTTGGCAGAGGAAGGGAGGAAGTGAGAAACGTGGCACTCAATAGCTGAAGCTATAGATGCTTTTGATATATCAGCACCCACCAGAACTATTACTTTTTAATCTCCAGCAAAGCACCAGCTAGCATCAAGCTATTAAAGCCAGCCAGCAAAGGGCTCTCAGTTCAGTTACAGGCTGCTACCTCTGAAAAACACCAAAGGTGAAGACCCAGGAGTCACAGGAATCACAGTAACATGGCTTTACCTTGACTCAGCTTCAGTTGGTTGCCCCTTACTGTGGTCAATGACATGCATCTGAGGAACATCTGGAGCATACATCTGAACCTCAGCTCCCCCACGACTAAGGTGTACCAGTACACTACAGAAACAGAAACAAAATATGATGAAAACCTTAGGAGAGAGGATTTATCTGTCCTGTATGTCTCGCTAGAAACATTCCACCTGATTTTGAAAAAAGAGGAAGAACACATCCTATTAAAGTAGGAGCAAAAGAGGGAGCAAGAAACACCCCTCTTTGGTGTAACACCAAAGTTCAGAGTAGAACTGAAAGTCAGTCTGGAGGATGGTCAGGAAAGCTACAGACAAGTTTCTTTGCTCAGTGTTCCCCTTCAGGAACCATACAAACTTCTTTTCTCATTGCAAATTCCTGGGTGTTATAGAAGAGTCCCACCATTAACACTAGGAGCACACAATCTAGGTGAAAGATCTCTTATTAACAAATAATAAGAGTTAACAATTCAACTTGAGAATTAATATCTACAGTTTTGAATTTAGCTCCAGGATGAAAATTCCAGACAATTATGAACCTAACTCTCTACTTATCTCTGCTGAAATTGATTCTGGAAGCCTGAATTTCTGTCTCTGAAGGAAAAACAGTCTCTAACTCATTGCTCTGGCACCACCTGCAGTGCTCTGCATCTTTGGACAGGGATCATACAGCAAGAATGCAGTGCAAGCTCCCAGTTATGTTTTGACAAAAGCCTCACAAACCCACAACAGGACTCTGAAGGAAAACTATACCACATCTTTCAGGGAAAGTTCAACACCAGAGATTGCAGAAATGAATTCAATGGGTCTCTCTAACATAAAGCAAACTTCTTTTGAGCCCACAATTTCGCAAGGTAACTTACGCAGAAGCCTCGTGGATTTCTGTGCCATCGTAGACACCACAGCCAGACAAGACCTGCAATAGGAAAATCAAGTACTTCAAGTGATACAAAAGTCTGTACAGTCTTTCTTAAATTTTAAAAACACAAATGAAATAAATAGGAGAATAGAAATAACTTCAGGACAAGCTCTTTGCCAAGCCAGTCAGCATCACACCATTAGTCCCAGCACTGCCATTTGACATACAGCAGAACTGGCATTCCCTATTTTTAGCTACCCACCCCAGACAGCCAGGACTCAAAGAGAACTACAATTTATTTGCTCTTGTACTTGTTCCTCAGAGTTTATAAACTGGCAAAGTATCATGAATGCAGTGGGTTATTTTGAGTGCCATACATTCGATGTATCAAGTGTCATTAAGGTGTGAAACACGCTCTTACCTAAACGCAAATCAAACCCAAGTGGGTTAGAAGCACAATTATGGCACTTACAACTGCTGCAGCGTTTTGTCTGAGGATCCAAATCACCGATTAATAGTTAAATCACTTTCAACCCAATTAGAAAACATTAACTACACTTTACTACCATGGTAATATTATTTTCAGTTTGCTCATAACACAAAGGAGATGAAAAAGCACAAAGCAATAAGCTGTTCTTGTATGGCTGGAGGGAATCTTTCACAAAGTAGAAAAAAAAGAAGGATTAAAAAAGGAAAAAAAAAAAGTTGTAAGAACAAACAAACAAACAATCCGAAGTGCTCTCTGGTTCTTGAAACTGTATACACAAACACTTCTGAGTTTCGGTTCCGTTTTCTCCAAGGAAAAAATCCAGTTGAAGAGTGTCCATTTCCCCTCTTCCCTCCTGGCTTTACCCTTGTATTTCTGAAATCTGAAAGTTTTTTTTTAATCACAGATACACGAACAGAAACTGTCTTAGTTAGAAACTTGGGATTTGGAGGGGCTTTCAGCTTTTCACATCCAGTTCTCTGCTATCAGTCTTGATGTCCCACCACCTCTTCGCTAGGTCAGACAACATTTTGTTGTCCACATTAACTACAGTTAACTACAGTTTCATTGCTCAGATATTTACAAGTGATCTTTACTTTTTACATTTTTATTACATCTTTTGGTGAGCACAGAATGAATAAACACAAAAGCAACTGTCCTGTGCTTATCTTCTTTACACAACACTTGCTAAATGTTCTTGAAACTCCTTAAAATCCTGGGTTGTATCAAAAATAGTGTTGCCAGTAGGATTAGGGAGGTGATCATCCCTCTGTATTCGGCACTGATGAGGCTGTGCTTCCAGTGCTGTGTTCAGTTCTGGGCTCCTCACTACAAGAAAGACAATGAGGCCCTGGAGTGAATCCAGAGAAGGGCAAAAGAGGTGTGAGAGGTCTGGAGAACTTACGGGGAGTGGGTGAAGGAGCTGGATTGTTCAATCTGGAGAAGATGAGGCTTAGGAGAGACGTTATTGCTCTCTACAACCACCTGAATGGAGGGTGTGATGAGATGACGGTTGACCTCTACTCCCTGGTAACAGCGATGAAAGGGAATGGAGTGCCAGGTCGGATATTAGGAAACACTTCTCAAGACCAGTGAGGCAGTGGCACAGGCTGCCCACAGAGGTGGTGGAGTTACCATCCGTGAAGGTGTTCAAGAGCCATATGGATGTGGCACTGAGGGACGTGGGCAGTGGGCACGGTGTGATGGGCTGCTGGTTGGACTGGGTGATCTTAGTGGTCTTTCCAACCTTAACAATTCTATGATTCTATACTAAAGCACTGTTCTCTTCTGCTGTGCCAGTACCTTTCTAGTTACAAAAACTACCTTGTACTATGGTCAGAAGTTTACATGGCTAATGTCAACAATAAAGTCTGTTTTCCAGTCTCTATTTGAAGGGTGATGGTTTGCTAAAACGTCAGCATTCACATTGAGCTCTCTGTAACACACAGAATTACAGAGAAGCAGGGGGTTGGAAGGAACCTCAGGAGCTAATCAAGTCCAAGCTAAAGCAGGTACCCTACAGTAGGTCACACAGATAGACGTCGAGACAGGTCTTGAGTATATCTACAGAAGGCGACTTCACAACCTCTGTACAGCCTGTTCCAGTGCTCTGTCATCCTAACTGCAACGAAGTTCTATGTAAAGAACTCAACTCCAGGCTCCACAGAAGCCCAATTTTACATAAATTCCTACCATGACCTGGCTCTCTCGGAGGTGCGCTATTCCAAGAGCAGCTTTACCACTCAACTGCCGCTCGCCTCAGCCAGGCCTCACGGTACGCCGAGCCCTCCCCACCGCCACCCCAGCACCGAGCCCCGCTGCCCTTTCACCAGCACGGGAACGGGGCCGGATGGACGCTACCAGCGCGCAAACCAATTTCCTCCCCCTGCTGTGCTGCACCGTTCTCCCGCCTCACTCACCACAGCGACGCGGGCGCCGCGGGGGCGGCGGGCGGAGCAGTGGAAGGAGGCGAAGCCGCAGGGCGCTGCCCGCCGCAGCGCGGAGCACAGGGCCGGCCCGCGGACGAGCAGCATAGTCGCGAGAGCACGGAGCGAGGCCGGAGGGCTGGCGGAGCGCGGAACTGCAGCGGGGCAGGCCGCGGGAGGCGGGCCAGGCCGGGAGGCCGCTGAGCCCTCGGCTGGGGTGTTGGAAGCGCCCTCTAGGGGCGGGGAGGCCCACGGCTAAGTATTCACCGGGGAAGGTGAACAGCGGGCATGCCAAGTTCCATCGCAGAGATTGGGCGTATACGTATATACATATATATATAGGACTGACTGGTGTGTATCTATCACCTATTTGCTACAACGAAAGCAGTGCTTGCGGCCAAGATCAGCTGAGAATCATCACACCTTTCAGCAGGGCCTGGAACTGGTGCAGAAGAGCAATGGGCTGCCCAGGGAGGTGGTGCGGTCACCATCCTTGGAGGTGTTCAAGAGCTGTGTGGATGTGGCACTGAGGGACGTGGGCAGTGGGCGTGGTGTGATGGGCTGGTGGCTGGACTGGGTGATCTCAGAGGTCTTTCCAACTGTAATGATTCAATGAGCAGTGCTGTATCCTTTTCCCCAGTTCCCCCGTGATGCACCACAATCAGTTTTGATAACGCTACTAAGTGTTTCTCACAACATTCCTGTTGAAGTAAACATCTATACAGGATCAGATCAAATTAAACTGCACCTGCAATCTTGCATCTTGGTTTCAAGTGGCAACAGAAGGTAAGGAAATGACACTGCTTCAAGGCCTAGCCTACTCCACAGCTTGTGGAGTGCTTGTGTCCAATTTGCACATTTTGCTAACAGGCACAAGGATTAGGCCAAACTTGGACCTACCAGACTTAACATTCAGTTTCTAGTATTTTCCAATGTGTCTTTCCTTATCTAGGGAGAATTTTTATCTATCACACGCATCATGGAATTTATCTTGATAACCTAACAGCATGTTGCAGCTCAAGCAAAGTGACAAACGTGAATGGAACACATCCCTTTGTGTAAGAACAGATGCTATCCCACCTCTCCCACTTCCTCTCAAGGCTCTTGAATGCTTTTGTAAAATTTTTATCTTTAACATTCTGAACATGAAGAATATACCCCAAGCCACATCTCTAAGTTGTTCTGAAAGGCCAGATTTTCTCCAGGTTTGTGTTTCTTAATATTGCAAACCCAAAAGATTATTAAAAATGTAGGGATAAAGTTAGTCTGCTTAACGAGCAGCAAACTCCTACATAACACAAAGCTACTGTCGTGACAGACCCAATTAGAGCTACAGGTTGTACAGTTTACAATAACATGGTCCTTAAAAAACAAAACAAAACAATGCAAGTTTGACAATAAGAAACACGTATGAAAACCAGTAAATTGAGTTAAGTAGTAATAATCACAATCATGTTATCTGACACATAATATGTTCTCTGGGTTAGCTAAACAATGCAGGGATTTACACAGATCCCAAGATGAATTTTTCCCTTCTTTCTGTACTACTCCCTCCCTACATATATCTATGCCTCTATTCTGTGCAACTTGCTTTCTGCCATGGTGGGGAAAGGAAGCAGAGGGGTGGAAGAGAATGAGAAGCAATTCCAAATCCCAACACAAAAACACAAAGCAGCTTCTACAAGTGTCTCTCCAGTCCAGCAACATCCTTCACTGCCTCGAGACCCTGAAACATTGTTATGATCATGAAAAAAAACATGAGGCAAGAGAGCACCAGCAACTGAAAAAAAATCTCAAAGATTCTATGAAGAAAGAAAAAATAATTTAAAAAAAAAAAAAAAAAATCAAAACATTTGGTATGCTTATTTAAGTAGCAAGTGCATATTAACTTCACATATTGAAATGCAACATGAACTGACTGCACATGTCTGGTGTATACTTTGGATTTATTTTTCTCTGCAGCACTTCTCTATATTCACACCTCTTTTCCAAGAGTAGAAAGAGACCAGAAAAGTAATCAAGAAGAACAGAATACACTGAAAACAAAATCAATCCTGGCTCACTGTTATTATTTGCTGCACCTTAAATCAAAGCCCTTTCAACATATGGCTTGAAAACAACACAAATATGGATATAGTTCTTTGCATTCAGAACCTCAGTGTCATTATTAGCCAAGTCCCATTCCAATTCCTAAAAGCAAGGAAAACAGAAGTTTCTAATTTTCATGTTAATAAACAATGATTGGGAGTTACATAACCAAGAAAACCAGGTCCACTTATTCCTAACAGTGCTCCAATAATATGCATGTATTATAACAAAAAAAAAAATCAAACAAATTGAGAGCAATAAGCAGCCCTCCCACTAAGAATGACATAAAAACAGAAGTAAAAAAGAGTCCATCACAAAGTATGACAAGGCCACATTAAAATTAATTCTCAATATTTAATCTATACACAATGTGTTTTTAATAAAGAATGCATTTCTTCCAGTCATACTTCTAACTTCACAGATAAAAACATGTTTTTTACCTTACCTGAAATTGAGAACAATTTAAAAACCTAAGAAATCAGCGCTGTCAAGCAACCAGTCACTTGCATTATGGACAAAGGCTGGCACTGCCTATCCTAAATCTCTCCCACTTTGTAACCCAGATGCAAGCCCACCCCACACTGTTAAAAAGATCTAAATTATGCCACTATGAGGGCCACTCAGTCCCAGTGAATACCACTGCATAAATTTACGTTGTCTTAGGTTTTCTCCCATGAAGAATAACTAGGAAGTGAAATTATCAACATGAACTTCTTGCATGAGATAATCACTGTCTGAAGACTCCAAGTCGTCTTCATCTACTGATGTTTCTGCCACACGCTTCATGCCCCGCTGTTGTGAAATGGCCAATGCATATTTGATATTGTAGATATTCCATTCACAGCTGTAAAAATAAGAACATGTTAGAAACAAGATGATGTTTTTTCTCCTAAAGCATAAGCACCTCTAAAAGAAGAGGGTCGTGAAACTTCTAATGCTACATTATCGTCCTTCTAATTACTCTACAGTGCAGTGAAGGGTTTTGATTTAGACTTTAAAATATAACAATACATACAGCTTGGATACATCTTCAAAGTGACGCTGGATGCTTTTCTGAAGAAACTGAATCATGGGGAGCAGCTTCTGCGACCTTAAATGGAGAAAACGTACAACTTGCATTGTAATTTATATTTATGTGTAAAAACAGTACTTTTCTATATACTCAAAACTTTAACATAAGTGTCATTGTCTAATTTAACATTAGACAAACAAAAGCATCTTGCTTTTGATTGTGCCAAAAATGATTATATTTAAATACAAATAATCTACTTCCAAACAGTTTTTAACGTCAAGCTGTAGCATGAAAAACTAAATTCTGCTTGCTGCAATGACAACAATTTCTTCCAAGTAATAACTTACTTTCCAAACAACAAACAGCTTGTTTTAAACTCCCTACTTCTACTTCAATAGAAACAAAAAGAAGAAAATTTGATCTGGCCATTTCAGCCACTCAACCATTAATACTAATATTGAGGTAAGCCACGAGTTACACAGCGCATTATTACTTTAACCTGCATCTATTTCAGATGGCTGTAGCTCTCTATCATACCTCCAGTTTACCTGGCTTTATTCCAAGGAGTCTACAAGCTGTATAGTAAGAGAAGGTTGAATACAATTCACAGAGCAAGCCCATATAGTTTTGAAGAAAAACTTGGTAAAAAAAAATCAAAGCACTTACTAAAAATGCATGCTATAATCACAAGCTAACTCTATGAAGGTGCAGCCAATACAAGCTTGTTATCCTTCAGTTGTATTTAATGTACATAATTGTTTAAAAAAAAAAAATCCCCAAATCCTAATAGTGCTTTTGAAATCTTCATGCATTTATAGACTAAGCAAACTATGGAAAGTTTTACCTACAGTATTTAAAAAATGCTTTTACCCCCACAAATGCAATCCAGTTCTCATACACACTCGTTAGTAGAGAAGTTGTAAAAATCAAGTTGTTTCAATTCCTATGTATGCATCCACCATTTCAGTCCTGAACTGAAAGGAGTGTTAAAATCCTTATCAGCTTTTTTCATTTTCACAGCTCACCTTGTTTTTAATTTCTGTCCATGCAGCATGAGCAACTTATGAGCCCAAATAAGATAGAACTCTAAATGACAAGATATCTCAAAGGCAGAGGCCAGGAACTCCAACACCTTTTCCACATACAGATCTGGGAGCGATGAGCAGACAACATCAACTGCATGAAGAGGAAACAAACAAAACAAAAATACACAGACATTGGTGTTGAATTATTATTTGGAACAACAAGAAAGAGACCACAGGAAGGGATGTGGAGAAGCAGAAGAGAGAACATGGTCTTAGCATCTATTCAGTGTTCAATATTCTACTTTAGGGCACAGTACCACAACCTCTCAGCAAGCCTGTTTTGAGCCTTACAAGGCCTCTTTTGAGCCTTCCAATCATTACTGGATTTAAAAACATGAATTTAACTCTCCTCCTATCCAAGACATGCAATCTTCTCCAGAACTTGTACCTGTCTCCTTCTAATCCATAAGTGATCTTAACCACAGTTTTGTTGCTCCTGACTTTATAGTTCTTGTAGAGTTAAGTGGAACTCGGAAGGTGTAATATCAAGAGGCAATAAAGGATGATTGAAAAGATCCAGAGCTGCCTGCTCACAGAGGAAGTACCTGAATGCTGTTAACAATTGGTCACGATGAAGCAGCACAATTTATAGTTGTTCAGAACAATGATAACCTCATTATATACAATTATTTCTCAAATTAACAAACTCTCACTCTCTGCAGATACTCCAACAGTTTCACATAATATTCAAGCCAATCTATCTTTCTCTATTAAACAAACAGTCCCACATTCCTTCTGTTAACAGTGGATTTCAACAACCTAAATTTCCACGCTTCACTCTCACTCAGCATCTCCTCAGCTGTTGTGTATTCTGGCCCTCTAATAGTTTTCCAATTCCTCCTCCTGAACGCTCCAGAACAACAATATCAGTTTTGCATGAGATAGTAAGAACCAGACACCATGCTCCTAACACAGTCTCACAAGTGCTGAACAGAGGA